CTTGCTATCATACTATACTACTACTTGCAATTTATTCCTGGTAATATGATGAAATAGGATTCGTGCTTGCTCTTCTAATCTGATTTGGTGTCATTATGTTCATTCTGAGTTTCTCAGTTCGGTTTCGAACAATTAGTCATTACCGTTGTCCGTACCTGATCGGTGATCCCTTGTCTTACAACGTTGGTACACACGTTGCTGTTGTTTTACAGGTGCGGCAGGCAGAAGTACCCTCTGTGAGTGACGAAAGGTTGAAGGAGAGCAGAGACACACTGCTGAGATATCAAGACATGACAGCCCCAGGCGTTACATGTACTTGGCTGTGTGGGAGAGAGAGGCCAAGGGTTAGCGGAGTCTGGAGACATGATACTAAGATATCCAGACCATGACAGCAGAGTTACAGGCTACGTGGCTGTGTGTGTGGTCGTGAGAGAGAGGCCAGGCCGTTAGCGCGTGGGAGTAGACACCGATGATGGAATGCAGCAGTAACTTCACCTGTGCCGCTGGCGTTAAGGATTCCTTTTGTCATTGGTATACTGGAGGCTGCCTGCTGAACAGCTTCGGGTGCGCACGGGGAGACGATGGCCGCTCCGCGCAGCAGGAGCTCAGAGCAAAGAACTTTGCTGCTGGAAGAGAGAAAGACTGCGCTGCAAGTCGAGAAGTACGCACACTAGCGAACAATCGAACAAACGTCGCCTACAGCAGGCAAACACTAAATGCTTAATCACACGCTCAGATGATGGTTCCAGGAGTGGACAGCGCTGGCCTTGCTGGTGAAGCCCTCTAACATGCAGCTTTGTGTGTATAAGCCATAATAGGAAAGTCCCGCTAACCATATTTGAAGATCAGATAAGAGGGGTGATAATTGCCCTATATATAAGTTACGATAGTTCTAGTGTAGGTTTATGGTCTATATTTCTCTTCACTAACATCGTACTATAATTCACAGGTGCGTTTCTGTTTACAGAAACATTTACAAATATGATTGTGGTCATTTGGGATATTTAGCAATGTTTGTGTTAATGCAAAAACAACGCACGAGTGTTTACATTAATCATGTACTTTCCTTAGCGCGCCGCGGCCATTTTATACCCCCTTTTTCTATTACCTAAATAACACAGCTGGACTTTCCGATATCACTTATTGCTTTCAGGAACAAGAGTGAGCAGACGACCGGGATGCTGCGAGACTCGCAGATGAAGATGCGACAGGTCGGGGAGCGCGCGCAGCAAGCAGCGGTGTCGTTCGCCACGGTGACGAGGGAGTCAAGCTTGATGGCGCTTTCGATGGCGGGTGCCACGTACGAATGCAGCATCCGCAGCCACGAGGAAACGCTTGCCTCGTACGTATCGCCTGCTTCACGCAGGCAGGCGACGTCCTGTGTGACGGGACCGCATGATGTGACCGTGTCTCATGCCCCAGCGTCACGCTCCCACATCACGCGCTCTTCCCACGGCCGCGTCACGCTCACACATCCCTCGAATCACGTGGTCCAAGCAGCACACGTGCACGCGCTCTTCCCACGCCCACATCATGACGCGGCACCATGTGCCATGCCTGTATCCTACATGCGCCACATCGTGCCCATATCGCACGTATCATGGCACGATGTTTTGTTGTTATATTAAGACAGGCTGTAAGAATGCGTGCGATTCCGTTATTCGATGTTGCCAGCTGGATAGAGCCCAGGTTAATGCAGAATGTAAACAGGTGGTGCAACAGATCCTACTGCCCAGATGACGAAAGCTTGCAGGTACACACACACGCATGGATGTTCATGCACGAACGCACCGCGCTTTGGACACCTTGAACTCCGCCCGCAAACAACATGCCATACCACTGCGCGTATGAATGCATGCCACACCACACAGTCGCACGCCACGCAACGCACGATTACCACACACGGACACGCAGCACACAGACACAGACACAGACACAAGGCACACGCAGACACCACACACACCTTACATGTACGCATGCACGACGCAGCGCTACACCACACACACACCTACACGTACGCACGCACGCACCGTGCTACAACACACACACACACCTACACGTACGCAGGGCACTCCGGTACACACACACACCTACACGTACGCACGCCACGCCCACGTGTACACACATTATAAAAACTGCACACGCACGCACGCACGCACGCACACATTTGCTGCGGTATTATGTTGCGTATGCATGTGCAGTTATCGCTTCTATGAATTCCTGCTCGTCTCCTCACTCATTATTATGTGTCGTTACAGCATGACTTTGATCAGCACATGGCAGAGCTTGAGGATTGGCTGTCACTCGATAAACCTACCACCAAGTGTACTAGCCGCACTGCCTGCGACGCCACCACAAGCTCTGCATCCCCTGGGTAGGTCATACGAATCCTCTTCCACACACCGCAGCAGCTTTCGTGCTACTGGCGCCGTCTATGTCTATAGCTGCGTTTCGGCAATTTCAACTTCTGTGCTCGCGTGAACAACCAAACAGTATTGATGTTTGAATTCGTTTATCTCAATTATTATTTTTAATTCACGTTAAATTCACGTGACGCACCTGGTTGTGGCTGACATCGCCACGCCAGTCAACGAAGCGTCTCCGTGCGGCAAGCGTGCGCGTACGTTGAATGCTGTGCGGCGTTGCTGTATGTAACAGGATAACATGCTGCCGGCTTGCCCCCTGCCTCGACCGCCTGCCCACCAGCCACCAGCCGCGGTCTACTACGCTACCAGCGCAGGCGTGTTCTCCTCCAGTCAGCAGCCATCGCTTGCACAGGTAACCGCTGACCGTCGATACGTTGATCGTTAGCGTGTTCACCAAACTGGTTGAAACTAGTTTATCACGAATAAATGTCCTGCATTCAGTTCAATCACTCTTTTCGTTTTTTACTTGATTTTAATTACTCTCCAATACTGATAACAACAGCAGGAGCTGTATGTATTTTGTATAGTACGTAACTGATATATATATATACTTATATCAGGAGTGTATCAATAGGAGCTGAGAAGACTAAAAACCGCGCAAAATTCAACATTTAGTAGCCTAGTCTACCGATTGATTTATTTGTGTTACCTCGATAACTTGAGCTCAAGTCTTGCCATTAATCATTAAACTTATCCGTGGTTCTAATCGTTGCGTCTCACAAAAATGACAAATCGGGAGTATATCGCGTCCAAACGTACAATGTGTTTTGAAAGTGTATATCCATTTTAAACAACTGGTGCAACCGAAACAGAAGGGCAATGGCGTTTGGAAGCCCTCTATCGCTTAGCAATGCAAAACATAGCAAACAAACTTAGCGAGTTTGCTAGCGGATTCTCAGAAAAGTTTAAACACGACTTGTTGTTATTATAGGCCATGTCGAATGACAGTATTACATGTTAATGAACAATTTTTTTTAAGAAAAATAAAAATGGATAAAAATACTTAAACATGTGAAATTTTTTATTTCTAATGTAAATAGCTATCAATAACACCAAGTCCGTGTTTAACTTTCCGAAATCCCTTAGCAACCTCGCTAGTTGTTTGCCTATGTTTTGCATTGCTAAGCCGACTAGAGGGCTTTCAAAAGCATGCCCTTATGTTTCGTTCACCAGATTGTTTAAAATTGGGATATAAACTTTCAAAAACCACATTGTCGTTTGGCGACCGATAATCTCCCGATTGTCATTATTTTTGTGAGACCAACGATTAGACATGGATAAAGTTTAATGATGTAAGGCAAGGACTTGAGCTTAGTTTATTCCGAGGTAAACCACAATAAATCATAGGCTAGACTTAAGCGCAAGACACACTGCAGCGACAGCGACCGACCGTAACGACAAACGGACAAAGTCGCGGCGACTGGCGCAGCCCACACTGCAGCCGACAACGGACGACCCGTTAACGACAAAGCTTCACCGCACTCACCACCAGTGCTACTCATGAGCAAACGGCAAAAAACTCCTGCTGCTGCTTTGAAATTAAATGCCCTGTAAGAACGCTCTATTATAACGAGAATATAATAAAAGTAATATATACGCCAGCATATTATACGAACGGCTAAAAACAATAATCATGGTCTGATGGCCTGACTGTACCTTGCACGTTTCGTTAGCATGGCAGTTCGCGGGCCCCACTGCTTCTCGGACAGGCGCTGCGAGTTTTAGCGCTGGCATGTCTACTTCCTGGCTAGCATTGGTTGTATAATTTTATGACGTAAATGGCCGATGTCACGTGCCGATTGTGAAACTGGCTGTGATTGGCCATTTTGTAAAGTGTCCGCGGCGAAAGCGCTGGGAATAGAACACGTTTCTAAATATTTTTGTCGTCTGAGGTTGCCGCGAGTCGTCTCGCGTCAGGGTGCAATGGCTCATAGGAAACAATAGTTTCTAATTTTCTGCAAAAGTCGCTTTGTCGTTACGGTCGGCGGTTGTTCGCTGCAGTTGTGGCTTGGCCGGTAAGGGCTACTAAATGTTGAAAATTTTGCCCGGTTTTAGTCTGGTCTCACTCCTATTGCATACACTCCTGATTATATATACATATTCAATATTGTAGAGCTGATAACCTCGTCAAAAGGCTGTGTCTGTATCATGTAGAGACACTGCCAGCGGCTTCACAAAAACGTTGGTTACATCAAGTGTATTGTTCGTTCATCTTAGATGCGAAATAAATCGTTTATTCCGATCCAAAAGCTTCTAGATGAATCATTCGACTGTTTTGTCTATCATCGGGCGGGGGGGGGGGAATTCAGTCTAGCCATTCCTCTATGAGGTTTTTGATTTCTGCGCGATCACGAAATAAACGAAATTTTTGGCTTTTCCAGATTGGCGCCAAGGTGCGCACGCACAACACGAGATAGGTGGAGCTACGGCTGCACGTAGCTCAACCACAGAATAGTGAGAAGCCACGACTGCACGCTGCTCAACCACAGGTACGCTGTGCACCAGGTTGCGCAACGCACAAACAGGAAGATAGGTGAGCCACGGCTTGTGCACGCACAACAGCGAAGCATAGTGAAGCCCACCGGCATGCACGTGCTCAACCACAGATAGGTGGAGCCACGGCTGCGCCTATTCGATCAGAGGATTGTGGAGCAGCAAGCGTGAATATGCGACCACAGACAGTGGGGGGCGCCACTAGTGGGAAGGCCCAGGCGAAACCAAAGAATAACTTTGAGAAGCTGATGCTACGGTTACAGAAGAGTTTCCCTCAGCAGTCAAAGTAAGTAGTGCATCGGGTGATGTGATGGTTACACAAACATGCCGCTAGCGATGTAAAGGGCTTATGTCGGGCTTGCGAGCCGACTCGACTGGAAAAGCAACTGGATTTTCGAGCAACTGCCAAGCGATCGCAGCGACTAGTTTGCGTCCAGTTGCGCCACTGTTCGATTTCCGAGCAAACTAGTGGCGGCCAGGCGCGGCAGTCGCGTCGCAGTCGACCGACCTAAGCACTGCAAATGCAGCTGATGCAGCCAGTTGCTTCCAGTCGAGTCGGCTCGCAAGCCCGACATAAGCCCCCCTTAATGCGCACAAGGGTGTTTAAGCCTAGTAATTTTTTGGCTTTAGTAATTGGTCAGAGAAGGGGGTAGTGTGAATCATAGGGAAAGTGGGAGTGAGCAAGGGATAGACAGCAGAAGGGTGGAAACAGAGAGAGGCGGAAGAGCATAGATGTGAAGAGGGAGGGAAGGCGAGATAGGGAAGGAAAGGGGAGACAGAAGACGCAGGCCGGCGCCACAGCGATGATACGAGAGTAAGAGTTGCGTTGCGTGAAGTGCCGTGCGTGCGTGCGTGCGCTGCGCGTGCGTCTGCGTACATTCGTGCGTGCGTTAACGAGAGAGAGCGACCTGCTGACATGCGCATACTCTCTGCTCAGGTCTGCACTGACGAAGCTGATTAAAGGAGGTAAGGACGAGCGTGGCGGAACACTGTCTGGCATGCCATCGACACGATCGTCGACAAGATCCGAGAGAAGGTTGCAAAGCAGGTAATCGCCCTTCTCTTCATCTATCAGTCCATCCATCCTACCATCCATTCATCCGTCCTACCATCCATCCATCAATCAATCAATCAATCAATCAATCAATTAATCAATCAATCAATCAGTCAATCTATCCATCCATCCATCCATCTAGCACATACATCCATCCATCCATCCATCTAGCACATACATCTATCCATCCATCCATCCATCCAGCATCATCCAATCAATCAATCAATCAGTAATCCATCCATTCCATCCATCCCATAACCATCCATCCAATCAATCAATCAATCAATCAATCCACCCATCCATCCATCCATCGATCAATCAATCCATCCACCCCATCCATCCATTAGCACATACATCCATCCACCCATTCATCCATCCATCAATCAATCAATCCATCCACCCATCCATCCATCTAGCACATACATCGCTGTGTTTTCCTACTTTTCACTCAGTTTCTATCCTTTGCCTTCTGTAGACAGAGATGCAGCGTCAGTCACCTGCGTGGAATGTGCCACCAAAAAGAATCTCCAAAAGTCACAGTTCACCGAGCAGGAGGATGAGGAGCCGTGTGTGATTTGTCACGAGGAGATTAAGATTTCCCCTTCTCTGAAGCTAAAGTGTGGTCACAAGTATCACACTGAGGTGAGCAGAGCTGTGGGTTACATAATATTAACATATATGTAACATATATATATATAGGGTTTCATATATGTAAACATGAGCATGCGTGATGCATACGTGTGTGTATACGTTGATATATTTAACTGTAATATATTGATTTATTGATTTATTTGACTACATATTTGGCTGTGTAGGCATGCTTCTTGTGTGTGTGTGTGTGTGTGTGCGCGTGCGTGCGTGCGTGCGTGCGTGCCGTGCGTGCGTGTGCGTGCGCGTGCGTGCGTGCGTGCGTAGATTTATATATGTAGTTGAACAGAAGTTGCTGTAATATGCAGCAGAACCTGGCCACCATCATCAGTGCTCATTATGTTTCTCTTGTGCCTGCAGTGCATCAAGCGATGGTTGAAGAAGCAGAGCACATGCCCCACATGCAGAGTCCACGCTCTCATCCCTGATGAATTCCCCGAGCTTAGTCGCAGCTAACTAACGCGTGCGTCGGTTCGGCAAATAGATCTCCTCGAGTGTTTGGTTTTGAATGGTTAGTAGATTGCCTAAACGCAATAAAGCCAGTGAACGTTCCGTTGAAGAACACGTTCTGTTAAGGAACACGTTCTGTTAAAGAACATGTTGCGTTAAATAACAGGTTGTGTTAAAGAACACGTTCTGTTGAAGAACATGTTGCATTAAAGAACACGTTCCGTTGAAGAACACGTTCTGTTAAAGAACACGATCTGTTGAAGAACACGATCTGTTGAAGAACACGTTCTGTTAAAGAACACCTTATTATAGCTTTATGAACCATGTTATACTCGTAAACAGAATATTATAACTGTGCACGCCATGTTATAATCCACTATATAGTTCTATTCCAAATTGGAAGTTTTTAGTTAATAGTTTTTCGTAGTTTTCCGTTTGATTTTATGATCGTAGTAATTAGAAAGAAATAACGCGAATCCTGTATTTTGTTTATATATTATGTTGCCCTTTTAAATGTGGTAGCATACGCATTTAAACCTTATATGTTCGCAGTTTGAAAATCATCTTATGTGGATTATTTATAATCCTAGTGATGTAGTTTGAAATCAGATCGGTCTTCACATCACAATCAAATCACATCTTGTCAGATTGGGTTTTCACTCGCATAAATTAATGACGATGTTGTTGAAACATGGCGCTGCATTTGCGCTTTCTTACGAGTGACGCATGGATGATATTTTACAGGCTGATGTTAACGGTAGTATCTGGTGATTTCCCATGATGATGCAGATATTAATCCTGGATGGATCTTTACGTCACAATCTTCATTACACAATTTATTTTTGTGATTGGCAATTTAAAATTGGATTTCAATTAATGTAGATTCATTTGGCTAGAGTGTAAAAGTAGTGGGCGAGACAGCTCTACAGTATTGAAGCGTGGTTGCCTGCGATCATATATGTCATCAATAGATGTTTACTACGGATCGTGATGTGTGATCGTGAACTGGAGATTCCTTACCTTGGCCTGAGTTTATTTTATAAAAAATCTATTGCGGAGGTCATCGGGAGTTTAAAACCAACTCCTGATCATATTTTTTTTACATGTAATTAAAGATTTTTGATTAAAAATTTAAGCGTAGGACTTACGCGTTTGCATTTTTTATGTACTATTGCATTATTTTTATATTGGAAAATTAAAAATATTTCTACGAATGTATAAATGAAGGAAGTAGAATAATGGCATTTTAGGGTAAAATGTAGTGCGTGCTTGCGTGCGTGCGTGCGTGCGTGCGTGCGTGCTTGCGTGCGTGCTTGCGTGCGTGCGTGCGTGCGTGCGTGCGTCTATAACGTTAAGAAAATCGGGGGAAATCATTCCATTACCTGTCTTACACCGTCAGTTTCACGTCTGTCTGGGTATATTTGTCTTTTGGTAGTTTCTCATCGTCATCTCCCTACAATCTCTTCTCGCTCTCTCTCCGCCTCTGTCTTTCTTATCTCGTCTTTCTTCCTCCCCCCTCCTCCGCCTGCCCTCTCTATCTCTCCCCTTTCTCGCTCGCTCTCTCCGCCTCTGTCTTTCTTACCTCGTCTTTCTTCACCCTCTATATATATATATACAGGGACCGCGGAACGATGTTTGAAGTGGGGGTGTTCAATTTGTTACGATCCAGTAGAGCGATTTTGTGATAGCGCCGGTGCTAGGGGTGGGTACGGGAAGGGGTTGTCCCATCCCGCGCGAAGCGCGGAATTATAAGCTCTAATAATAAATAAATAAATTTATCGGTTGCCTCATCATCCGTCGGGCGCGCCCGAAATCGTGGTGAGTGTGTTACTCATCATGACTTTTGCGATTGCTGGGAGAACGTTAGCGGTCGCAACTCCTGCTAATGAGGCTCCTTATAAGCGCTAGCACTAATTACAACGGGGGAAGTAATAATCAGTGCCGAAATGCCGGTACAGCGATGTTTAAACGCGTTTCCACGAATTCCACTTCCATGTGGTTTTATTTATTCCGGGGCACTGGCGGATCCGGGATTTCAATGAGGGGGTGAGTAATAGGCGGGGGTATAGGGGTTCTCCTCAGCAAATTTTGAAAATGTAGATCGCAGGAGATGGTATTTGAGGTACTTTTGAGCTTCATTCTGATTTACAGCACAGCCTTCATTCTGCAACCTGCTTTACCACTCAATTACATAATTTTATATTAATTTAACCCATGCATCAGGACCAGGTAGAGTTTTGTACAGCCACGCGACCATTATACTTAGTAATAATTAATTAGTATAATATACCAACACACAAGCCTATATTATGTGTAAACATATTGTTACTCTAGCGGAGGGGGGAGGGGCAGCCACCCAATCCACCACCCCTCTTAATCCGCCACTGCGGGGGTATAGCTTTGAAGTGTTTGTTGTGAACTTTGCACATAAGACATCAAAACAGGAAGATGTGTGTGTGAACGACCCATGTTCTTAACTTCCTTCTTAAATCAAAATTCATCAGAATACTGTATAAAACTTTAGCCCCATAGCTGACGACACCATTATACAGGAGGGATCTCTTCAAAGACACGGAGGCAGTCGGTTTTTGCTACGAGACGAGTGGTGTACGGCGTGTATCGTCGGAGAGTTGCTACTTGGAGCGTGTGTCGCCCCGTGTCGCCGTAGCGAGAGAACGAGAGGTGTACGGCTAGTGTCGTCGGGGAGACGGTGTAACTGTTGCTATGTAGAGCGTGTGTCGCCGTAGCGAGAGGACGAGAGGTGTACGGCGTGTGTCGTCGGGGAGACGGTGTTGCTATGTAGAGCTTGTGTCGCCGTAGCGAGAGGACGAGTTGGGTACGGCTAGTGTCGTCGGGGAGACGGTGTTGCTATGTAGAGCGTCTGTCGCCGTAGCGTGAGGACGAGTGGTGTACGACGTGTGACGTCGGGGAAACAGTGTTGCTATGTAGAGCGTGTGTCGCGTAGCGATGGGAGACTATCTATGTCTAGACTATGGGACTGGCTATTCCGTCATAGGGAGCGAAACCCTGACAACTTGGCCCATTTAGACGTGTTTTTGTACGTTTTTTACTCTGCTATTCTTCTGCCTCAGCATACTTTGCCTTTACCTCATCTACAGCTTGCTTATCTGCTGCAGCATGTGAAACACCACTACACACACTGCTCTCACTATTAATTTCCTCCCTCTCTCGAGTTGCTGCGCACAGCATTCAGGTTATCAGTTATCAGTTATCAGACTGCTACGCTAAACATTCTAGAGCCCTTAGAGAGGCTAAGCCTATTATCTTCATTTTCGGCTTGCATAACTACATTGCGATATCTAATCTGAATTCAGAGTGCTTCCAGCTTGCTTATCACAGATTTACACTTGCATAATTCATACGTAACCTTTTTTCTCAGTAACCCGGATGATCCTGATCCTACCTACATTACACAGCTCTCGAGTCAGTTTATCGATTCTGGCTATACACTGCCTCTGTTTATTCAATGCAATATTTTGCTTTTTTGCTCGCTTCTGCAACCTTCTCTCCTGTTCGCTTCCTGTTTTCTTTCTTCCACGAAGAAATTCTACTGAATGTGCTCCAGAATAGTAGACATACGTAATTAGTATAATAATAGATAGCACAGTGTTTCTTGTACAGCTGGGACTAGCCTAACCTACGGTCCCTACCCCTACCCCTAATTATTGTAATACCGATAGCTATGACAGAAGTTAGATCATAGCAATAGGTTCAAATAGTTGTGTAATTATTCAAATACTGTATCTTCCTACTAGATTTTTTAAATAATTATAATAATGGATATATAATAAATATAATAAAATCATAATATTAATGGCTATGTATAGTGCATAGCTATGCTATTGGCTGCCAGCCATGCATGCAAGCAATTGGGTGGCTTTCCTGATAATGGCGAACATCAAGCTGATAATAAACTATTATATATATATATATATATGTTAACAGCAAGGTCGACCTTGAGCAGCATAGCAGCCATGTGGTTGCAATGGTTCGCCCCACAAGTATGAAGTGATTTACAACACGGGGTATTATAAGGAATTATATGTTATAGAATAATAATCAGTCACGTGACGAATCCTCGCAGCTCTCTCTCTCTCTCTCTCTCTCTCTCTCTCTCTCTCTCTCTCTCTCTCTCTCTCTTCTCTCTCTCTCTCTCTCTCTTCTCCCTCTCTGCTCTCTCTCGGCTCTCCTCTCTCTCTCTCTCTCTCTCTCTCCTCTCTCTCTCTCTCCCTCTCTCTCTCTCTCTCTCTCTTCTCTCTCTTCTCTCTCTCTCTCTCTCGCCTCTCTCTTCTCTCTCTCTCTCTCTTCTCTCTTACGCTCTCTCTCTCTCTCTCTCTCTCTCGTCTCTCTCTCTCTCTCTTCTCTCTCTCTGTCTCTTCTCTCTCTTCTCCTCTCTCTCTCTCTCTCTCTCTCTCTCTCTCTCTCTCTCTCCCTCTCTCTCTCTCTCTCTCTCTCTCTTTCTCGCACATCTTCGATTTACCCGAATCGTCTTTGATACAATGCACCCAGCATTATCATGACTCAGTACACACGCATTATCATACAACGAAACACCGGCTCATGAGTGCACAAATGAATCACCAAATCCAGAAAATTTCACATAAACTAACCGCGCTTTATTGTATACTTTCCTACCACGCATAGCCCCGCGTATAATATAGCCTATGCGCGATACCGCGCGTGTATATTTTGACTCTAATTAAACTAACCGCGCTTTATTAAACTCAACACTCACGTGTCTATGATTGGTAGAATTTATAGAAATGTCACTCAACTCGTTCGCGAGACATCAGAGCAAGTATACTTTTCTACCACCCATAGCCCCGCGTATAGCCAGCTATATACAACATGCATCAGCATGCGCGATACCGCGCGCACATATTTTCGAATTAATTCCGCGCGTTATTAAACTCAACACTCAGAAAGATTACAGCATAAAGCTTAAGATTACAGAATTATCGCATGCGGGTGCGAATATTTTCGCCGCGAAATTCGCATGGCGTGTCCCCCTCCTAGACATGTGTAGGATTTCCAGAAATCCTTCGTTTGCGAGATGTGAGAGCAAGTATACTATCCTACCGCGTAATAGCGCAATGCGGAAGGTGTGTGTGTGTGTGTGTGTGTGTGTGTGTGTGTGTGTGTGCGTGCGTGTGTGTGTGTGTGTGTGTGTGTGTGTGTGTGCGTGCGTGCGTGTGCGTGCGCGTGCGTGCGTGTGGAAGGTGGGGGTGATCGACGGTATACAATGCGCCAGTGTGCGCAATACTGCCGCGAAGATATTTTTATTGTCGAAAAATTAATATGGTTATTATTTTACCCGCCATCTATCAACAAGATTTCAGCGCTAAAATGTGTCTTCTTAATAAAAATGCAATGTCTACAAATCAAATAATATATTGTATATGTACGAGTAAATGAAATACATAACCTTGTTGGGGCGTTGCTTATAAATTGTCAGCTGTTCTTTCAGTGCTTCGTACTTTCTGGCGGTGTTGTACAGTGTTTGTAAATTGCAGCGCCATTGTTCGACAGTCACGTTTACTTTCTGATGTAAAGTTGCCCTTGTTACATTTATTCTCTTGTCAACTAATCTATTGTATCTCCCTTTGCATTTCGGTTACTTTACTCGCTCATTTACGCATGTAGGCCTATCACTAACTGCTCTGGCTTATTTCGATTCAGCGTGTTCTATGTGTAATGCGGTTGTTACTTACGGCAATGTCGCTTCTACACAAACCTAATTTCTGCTTTACGATCACCATCTTTCATTAGCTGGTTTATTGAAGTAATGTATTGAGATTGGGATGTGAGATATGCACCTACTGGCTACTGCTGACCGGCTCCTCACGTTTTTAAGCATATAGCATCGACCGAATATCGTTGCCTTTGAGAGATAACGCGCTAAGATTCCCGCTCCAGTATACCCTATAAATGAGAATAGGACCATGTAAAAGGCATGGTGTAGCCGCTAAAGTGAAATATTGAGATCAGGATTTGGTATTACGTACCAGCTACTTGCCGGTTCCCCTTTTTTATGCACATAAGATCGACTGAAGTTCATTAATTGTCTTTGAGTAGTAATGCGCTGAGATGACCGTACTGGCAAACACTATACAGTAGTGTATATGACTATCTGTAAAGTAGGGCATT